CTAACTAACTGTGAAGAAGGCTCTTCCTGTCATTTGGTAATTTAGGAAACTTTTAAATACTATTTTCCCTTGTCCCTTTTCTGTAACTCTTTCACAGTTTCGTAAGGTAGGTTAATTGTTGTTACTCCTGATTTTTTTGGCTTTAACAGGTCCTGTGTGTATTAGATTCTCCAGGCTTACACTCCTCATTACGTCTTCCAGAAATGTAATCTGTTTCTTTCTGATTGTAAATATGCTGGTACAGTATACGCATGCTAGTCCTAAATGGCAAGCCCTACTGTACAAAATGGCGGCTCAAACGTAATATGAGTAGTTTGAACTCCGTGTATGTAGAATTATGTGAGTGTATGTAGAATTATATGTATGTAGAATTATGTGAGTATATGTAGAATTATGTGTATGTAGAATTATGTGAGTGGAGGATCGCCTTTAATATAAGAAGTATGTATCAATTTAAAAGCATTTGCCAATTTATCAAAATCAGTGTTTTGTTCGCGACATTTTTACTGGAAAACATCATGTCAGTTATGCTTTGATTAAAGCCACACGCTGTCTCAGGGATGGAGTATGTAGCAACTGTCTATTCCCATAAGGATTCTGCCCACAAGTGAAAGTACTTAAAGCTATGTAGATTGAACAGTCCAATGTTTCTCATTTGTTTTTCTAAAGGGCTGTTATAATTGCCTCTTTGAGCTCTTGAAGAAATTTTGCCTGCTTTCTGTAGCCTAGTAGGAATTCATGAAACATTGCATGCAGAACGGAAATTCTATTTTTGCTAATTACTTTTGTATTTTCTTGTAATATTAGTGACCTTTCCGGTTCCAGCTTGCTGTCGGAGAGCGAAGTCAAATACAGCTTCCCGAAGACATGTGATTGTCCTTAGAAAGTGGGTGAAAGCATTCGGACTAGAAATCCAGGATAGAATCCTTGTCAATATCACTCACAATTCTGTCCAGTTTAGTCTGGATTGGATTTCATATATCAGACGATCAGGAGTCGTTGTTAGCTCTGAAGGTTGGCATCTCACCAGAGGTGCAGCTGTATCAGAAATATATATATATATATATATATATATATATATATATATATATATATATATATTCATTTTAGGATATTAAAAAACATGTTTGAAAATTGCTACACAATTACAATTAGGTTTCAACACTAGAAATGTGTCTCCTCGGGCGATGGAGGAGTTTATAAATGCCCGTTAAGTCGCAGTTGTGTTTGTTCAACATCCACAGAGCCCACCTGTGGTTTATACTGCAACTAAGCTGAGCAGACCTTAGTTACAGTTTCTGAGAGAGAGCATGTTATCTAGAGTGATCAACAATCTGAACAAGGCCAGCATGCTCGCAGTGACCTGTGACTTCGTGCTAGCACAGTGATTGGGTCAATCAGACCGATAACATCAGGAAGTCTCCCTCCTGAGAAATCAACCATAGTGAGATTCGAAACCGGGTGTCATGTTCAAAAAGCGAACGTTCTAGAGTAAAAATATAATATAATATAATATATATGTTTTTTTAGTGTTTCCTATTTTTATTGTAAATTCTCAGGAACAAAGAAAATGTACATATATTTTTTTTAAATATAGAGAAATTTATTTACTGAAAAAAAAGTAACTATAAACAATTTTTTTCTATCCTCTGCCAGCCGCAATGATGGAGAAAGCATTACCGCGAACCATGGCCAGTGAGACACGCTGCAAGAGCCACTCCGTTTCACGAGGATCATCCCTTAATCAAGACGCAATCACGACAATCCTCCGAAGGAACGCCATCAAACGAGAAACCAATAACCCCAGGAGTCTCCAATTTATTATAATAAAAATTATTATATTATTCTTTGAGCCTTTTTATATATATATATATATATATATATATATATATATATATATATATATATATATATATATATATACAAAAGACACAAGCATGAATATATATGTCGATTATGTTTCTACCAAAATCAACAGGGAAATGATGTTATGACATTTGAGCAGCATTCAACAAGCAATTTCTATTCAAACCATTTCTTAATGTTTCGTGTCTAAATCTCTGTAAAGATAAATATCTATTTCAGCTTTTTCTTAGATGCTATTATATAAGATGTCGCCAGACGAACATCCGTGGCTATATCACCGTACCACCAAACCTTAAGCATTGGCCTCGTCAGTAATATACACACAAACGTTCCGACATTTCATTTAAATAAAAAATAACAATCTTCGGGTTTGTTATGATAGTTTTATTCTTTGTAAAGTCGACGTTTTCCTTAAATTTAAATTGGATTTCTTCATATAGACATTCAAATAAAAATACTTGGTTATAATGCCACTCTCTCGCCTCTTAACACACCCTTTTTCTAAATGCCCACTTAACGCCCCCAAGATCATGCGATTGGTACCGCCCACTTTGGAAATCGCGGTGATGGTCAGAAAATCTTGTTATATTTAACCTTTATACTGATGGAAATTACATTTTTGACACTTTCAATTATTGCAGTAAAATTTATAGGGAAGAGATTTCAGATTGCTTCAAATTTAAACCGGTTAATCAGCTAAGCGCCACTTGGTGCCAAAAACTAATCAATGGCTGAAAATAAATTATTTATGTGTGAGATTGTTATTCTGTGAAGGCGTATGGCTAACGTAGCTGTGATGGGAAGTTGTTTTTTTTGTTTGTTTTTTTTTGTTTCGATTTTTTTTTGTTGCATAAACAGTCTATTCTCCAGACGAAATTCTGAGAAAATAATTTGATGACACAATGCAGCGAATCTATAAAAAAATCCTAAAATATGCATCTTAAAGAAAACGTTGGAAACTTTTGCATCAATCTAATACATATCACAGTTCTGTTAGAACTGCTAAAATATTCGAGATTTTTAAATTTCATTCGTTACATTATTTTAACAAACCAACTCTTGGTCTTCAGAATACAGAAACCATATAACTGGTACTTAAAATTGGAATCATTGACAAACATCGCATGATTTTGCTAGAAATCTAATGTATTAAACTTAACTTTTAGATATATCGTAATAGAGTTTGTTTGTTTTTTTTAATTCGAGAATTGTACCCGATATATTGGCAAGTGTTTTCGGCGATAACAAATCGTCAAATATGCAAGATGCCTTGATTTCTATCAAGTCCATCTGTTCCATTATATAATCACTTGCAGGAAATGATAACAGAATTTTAATAATACGTCATACGGAGAGTATAAAAAATCTGAATAAATGTCATGTTACAGTCTTCTTGACCTTTTCCCACGATGCACCAGGATTGTAGGAACGTTGCATGACGGCTTACTCAACATGAACTTTCCACTTGAGCCGGTCATTTGTCAGCGCCTGTACATTTGACAACATCGTCCGACGATCTCTTTTTCCGACGCCCTCTTCTTCATATTTCTAGCGTCCGTTGGAGAGACCACGCGACCTGGTTATGTATTAATACCACTTCAGCTACTTCTCTTTTGTTGTCTGGTGGTCCTTACGTCTTTACAGATATTTTTCTGTTGACTCTCTCTCTCTTCTGTGCAACTCTTCATTCGTGACGTGGTTGATGTAGGAAATACCAAGCAGGCTTCTGAAGTATCTCAGGCCTGCAATTTGGGTCGGCCATTGAGTCCCTGACTCGCAAGCATACAGGAGAACTGACAAGAGTAAATGCAACAATCTCAATTACCTTGGCATCTGAATTAAATCCATCTTGGCTAATGATTACGCTAACGTATTTGAATTATTTCACTGTCTTCAGTTGCTAACTACTGATTGTAATTGGTGTCCTCATGGGTTCCCCACTGTTTCTCATCAACTTTGTTTTTACAGCGTTAATTTTCATGCTATTTTTCACTGCCTCCACTTGCCGAATACTGATTGTAATTGGTGTTCTTAGGGGTTCACCACTGTTTCTCGTCTGCTTTGTTTTTACGGCGTTGATTTTCATGCTATATTTCACTGCCTCCAGTTGCTGAAAACTGATTGTAATTGGTGTCCTCATGGGTTCCCCATTGTTTCTCATCTGCTTTGTTTTTCGTTGATTTTCATGCTATATTTGGATATTTTTCGTCCAGATACCTCATCAGGTTGGCCAGTTCGTCTCCACTTCCAATCAGGCCATTGCTCTCATCAAAGAGGTTTGCTCTTTAACGCTGACTGTGCCGATATGGTTTTCAAGGGCATCCGACATTATTCTTTCCAGGAAGACATTAAATCTATAGGATACATTGCCACATGCCAACTGATGTGCGGGACCAAACCACAGTTTTTACCTGGCCAAAAATATTATCATTAAATACTACATTAAATACTATTTTTGTTATGTGTTCGTGCCAAGGTGACATTATTACACTTTTATCATCCAACTTTTTGCACTATTCTAATAGGGAGGTGGTTCAGAGCTAGTCCCTGATGACTGCGGTGTTTCAATAGGGAAGTGCAAAAAGAGACTGAGAAATATTTGCATCTATGCTCATTATATGTTAGGGACGTATTAAATGAAGTCTGTGTTAAATATGTCCTCGTATAGAGATGAACACGTACACTAGTGTTTCTCTACGTAGTCCAGGTGGACCACCGGTGGTCCACATAGCATTTCTCGTGGCCCACAGAGAATTTGTAGCCATAAAAATTGTAGCCATTTCACAAAAATGTATCTAAATTATTCAATTAAAAAGTATAATATTTTGATTAATTACACAATTGTCCATTATATTTAAAAATTTCAGAAATTACGTAGTTATTTAGTATTATGCAATGGTGTACACACACATTTATGTTGTATACACACACACATATATATATATATATATATATATATATATATATATATATATATATATATATAAAAGGCTCAAACACTAATATTCCTTGGTTATAATTTATTACATTGGAATCGTAATCACGATTCTTACTCTGTCATGGACATTGAGTTCTACCTGGATTCTATCCTCTTGAAATTATATATATATATATATATATATATATATAGACACACATAGATAGATAGATAGATAGATAGATAGATAGATAGATAAATTGACCATTAATATTATCACATATATATGTATATATTTGTATGTATATATATATATATATATATATATATATATATATATATATATATAAATAAAAAAAAACAGACCATTTTAAGGTTCCATGTAATAATTATTTCACCACAGCCTTTTTAAAGGACTGCGGATCATCAGACTTTACTTCCAAAGGTTAAAAATTTTTGACGGGCCGTATTAAGCATATGTAAATTAACGAAGTGAGGAAGTGAGGGGGAGAGAGAAGTCATGAGTGAATTAGATTGTAATTTAAAATTTCTATTCTTTTATACTTAAAATTACTTGAGGTCCAGACATTGACACATTTAAACGGTTAACTTAACGGAAGTTATATATTGATATCGAAGGGGTAGAGCGAGAAAAAACACATAAAAATAAAAAGAGAGAAGGAAGTCATGAGAGAAGGTGTCACTAATTTTCTTTGGAAAACAAAAAAAGAAAATTAGTGACACCTGTGGTGAAATAAATTATTACATGAAACCTTAAAGTGGTCTGTTTTTATTTAAATTATTTGCTCTGGATTTACATTGAGCTCTCTGGATTTTATCCTCCTTGGGTTTACCTATACGGATTACCTAGTTTTTCATAAACTATATATATATATATATATATATATATATAATATGTAATATAAATTTTTTATTAATCAGCAACGGAACTATCAATCTAAGACTGAATGACATCAGCAAAACTGATTGTGATATCTTATGCCAGAAACACTAAGATTAAGGTAGTCACTAGCTGAATGGACTAAACAAAATGACATCATCAAAATTGATTTTCATACCCAGTCTTTATCCTTGTTTACTAAAATAAATTTTAAAATGTAAATAGATTACTTTGTCTTTCCATTGAGGATTTTAGTGTGAAAATTGAACTGCCTAAAAGTAAAAGTAGCAGTGACCCATTTGAATTCTCTGATGAAGAAAAAATAGTCCATGGGCTGAAAACGGTTGAGAAGCACTGACTTACACGATTCTCTTATAAAGCACCGGGTGTATACCATGTATTTTGTAGACACTCTGTATAATGTTTTTGTACAAGAGTCGTTCTTGTTTTGTTTTTATTTGGCTTTTATTTATTTATTTTTTGATTTTTATTATTATTTTTTCCTAAAAAACTTAAAACTCAAGCCTTGAAAAAAGAAGTGAAGACCCTCCCTACGGTGCATAAGATACTTCACGCCAGATAATTTGGGTAAAAGACAAAAATAGATAAATGTCCTTCAGTTCTCAAATCGAAAAATACATTTACAGTTCCGCCCCCAAAGCAGCGATTCGTTCGTAAACACGCAAGTAGGTTTCTGGAATATGTAAAGAAGGGACGTAGAAGTGCGAATATCAATAAATCGATGATGACGAGGAAGACGAGTTACCGTTCGTGGCGTGGTGAAGATAGGAATAATTATAGTGTCGTGTACAGCGCTGTAGATTATGATATGTCTTTGTTAACATTAGTTGTTGCCTTTTAAATTATTTCACTCCAAAGAAGACAATAAAGCCACTGAGATGCCAGGGGGCGGGGGTTCCTGAGTGTATTATTAAGAAGAGAGAACAAATGAACAGGAATTAAGAAGACAGAAGATAACGATTTACATTACATTAAAATTTTGGAAGAACACTGGAAAGTTAGAACCAGAAAGAAAATTCTACAGGTGAGAAGTGCGAGAGAAGAGACTGTCAACATAGAATTTACGGTTACATCTAACCATTTCGATCGCAAAATGATACCTTGCTGCCAATTTAGTTCTGCTCTTAAATTCTTACGGAAGAGAATAGTTCATCATAAAAAATATTTATAGAAAAGGCGCAGTGAATCTCTTTTACAGCGATCGAAATAAATCTATATAAATAAATGCGAATGTCAGTGTGTCACACTTTTTCAAAGTTACTCGTAGAAGCTGTATCATACCATTTTGTGATCAGGCAGACCTTGTTAGCAAATTAAAAACATTCCGAGTTCGATCCGGACCGGCAAACTTGAAATTTTGGATTGCCATGTTTTCATTACTGTTATTGTTTTGGACGATTTTTTACGTGATTTTTTGCGACGATCTTTTTTGTACGATAACAATTTTTATTTCAAATAAATTTGGGAATAATTGAAATTAAGTGCGAAATACAGCGAAAGTCAACCATGAAATAAAACTAATTGTTTTGCACGGAAAGTAAGGACCTACGTACATCAAATTGTCTTTAAATTAAGTAGCGACAAGAATTTTCGTTGAACTTTTAAAAGGTAAGTTTAAATATTAATGCAATACTAAAAAGCAGCGAGTTCTTTCTGTAGTTTATTGTTATATATTGCATACGGCAGCCGTATGTCTCGCGAAATGAAATCTCTGCCAGCAGAGGACCAGATTGCAATCAAAAGAACCAAGGCTGCAGCGAGGAAATGAAAACCAAATCAAACGGTAGCCAGGGGAGTTCCCAATGCCGGGAATATGCAAAGACTTAGGGACTCTCAAACTCCTGAACAAGCTGAAAGACCAATCAAGAGCCCTCCACAGGGCGACTTTTAAGCTAGTAATAAATAGAGCTTTTAAGCTAGTAATAAATAGTAAGATAATTAATGAAATTAAACAATTCGATTTATTTATAACGACTACCAAACACGAATAGAAAATGTAACTATAGTCCTAGTATATCTATCTTTTAGTGCTTTGTACATGGTGTGCGTTATGAGGTAGTGAATAACAGCTCCGAATAAGAAATCGATTGAGCGGAATCGAATTCCAATCGGGTTCGTTACACTCACTTACGCATAAATACCCTTCAGAAAGGTATAAATCCATCTCCCCCACAGCTATGAGTTGAATAGAAGGATAGACTTCGTCCTATAACCTTGGCTGGCAACCAGTCTACCTCAGAATGAAACGGCAACCTACTGCGGAAGAAAATCAGTCATGAATCGAACGATACATGATCTTCCAAGAGTATATCGCGTGTAGCACTTGGCTGATATTGGTTGCAATATTTGACGAAAATCAACATAAAATGATAATTTCCGTATTGTATTTTAACACGCCGTGCAAGCACATATTGATATTTTATCTATAAAAATAAAAGTGAAATTGGTTGTTGGTATAAAATTAAAAGGTTGTTTTTTCGTTTTGTCTAATAAAATCAAAATAACATATCATAATATAAGTCCGCATAGTCAGACAACGGGCGCAGCAAGCTTAAAAAGAAAAGTATGCTTATACAATTAATGACCGTAATCTGTCACTCTCTTAAATTACACACTCAAACAGCACTTTTTTTTTTTACTTTCTATGTGCCGTGTCCTTTCAGGATGTAGGCGATCATGGCTCTCCATTTCCCTCTATCCCTTGCAGCTCTCAACAAGTTCCTTCTCTCTGACACCTCCCTCAGACCATGTTCTGTCATCCACTAGCCCTTTAGGTATGTCATGCGTTGTTTTCCCTTGTCTCTCTCTCTATTCTCCAGGCCGTCCTTCCTGATTACGTGTCCAAGAAACTTCAGCTGCCTTTTCGATAGTATGCGCCTCCTCTTTGTTTGCAACCTCTCTAACATCTCATCGTTACTCACACACTCGGTCTATGATATCCTCAGCATCCTTCTGTAGACCCACATCTCCGTCGCCTCGGGTCTCTTTTTCATCTTTGAGGTGACCTGCTTGATTTTAGCGTCCCCGACCTCTATTTCGGGCTCATCCATCCATTTTGTTTTCTTGTAGACTTTTCTTATATTTGTAATCTATGCTTTTCCATGATTTTCCGGGAATAAATTACTGCAAAGGTTACACATTGTCTTCTCTAACGTTTTGCTTTCAAAGTGTTCCTCCTTCTTGACTGATTGAGAGTCAAGGCTTTAGAGCTTAGTCTACCTTGCTATTTAACACATAAAGAGATGGTTTTATGCATTTCCCATAAACATTAGTTCAAAAGTGAACGGAATAAGCGAAGATTTAGTTTTTCAGCATGCTGATTCCGTTTAGGTCATCCGCAATTCTACAAATAACATTGTTTGCATTAATTCTTGACAACTGGTAATCATTTTCATTTTAATTTCGCACACATCTACCGATCTCAAATATTATAAACATGTTTCAGGTTAAAAAAAGAAAAACCTTGCAAACTTCAGAGTTTCATCTTTAATTTGTTAGAATTATTTAGTTTATTCATGTCAAAAAAGGGTTAATGAGAAAGTGAGTGGGAAACAAACAAGAGAGTAATATCAGCGGACAGCAATACGAATCATATCGTCCAAATTCAAAGAGAACCAGCGGTAATACACCAATGATATCTTTTTTAATTTCTTCCCGTATAAAGTCAACAGTTGCTGGTAAATCACTGCAAACAGAAATTTTAAGTATCTACTTAATAAATCGAATCCATTACATCAATATTTGCATAAAGAATCTAGAAATACATTAAATTCCACGAAGTTTAAATGTTAATATGATATTCAATGTATTTCTGCAATAAAATAAAAATGAATTCATTCTGTACTAAAATAATTTCCATTCAGATCAATAGTAAAATAATTTCCCGTCAAATTCTATTGTAAAACATTTTTCTATACTATAGTTAAATAATTTCAAATCAAATGCTATCGTAAATCAAATCAAATCAAATCAAATCAAATCAAATCAAATCAAATCAAATCAAATCAAATCAAATCAAATAACTAGGCACGATGGAGTAATGGATAGCGGCTCGAATTGAGGAATCGGGGAGCCGAGTTCGAATGCTAGTCAAACCCATTACATTCACTTGCATATGGGAAATGTGTGAACCCTTATGGGTAAATAGCAGGAGAGACCGGGAGCCTTGGATGGCGACTGGTCTACCACAGAAAGAAATGGCAACCTACTGCGGGAAAAAAACTGCTTCCTCAGTCATGTATCGAAAGAAACAGGATCGCCTAGGCGTGTATCACGTATGTCACATAACTGACTGACTGATCAGTTAGGTACTATAGTAAAATAGTTTCCTCTTTATCTATAATAAA